TTTTTTTAAAAAAAAAAAAAAAAAAAAAAAATCAACTGTAAAATAAATCCCTTGTTCGAGGCTAATATTTGTCACTGAGCTGGGCGTGCGCGCGCGTGCGCACTCACTGCTCACACTAGCGCTATCATTGTGTTGTTGTTTANAGTACTCCAATTTACCACAAATAGACTACATGGTCCAACGATTTTTGCAGGGTAGCGTCTGTGGTTTTTTTTTCGCTATTAGCGCTCAGTTGACGGCGCATCAATCAAACAAATTGCTGATGAATTGCTGGCGTTGCATTCATTGGGCTGCCCATCGTGCGGTGATTGTTTAGTCGGTCAGCGCTGCTTATTCACACTTAGCATGTGTTGGTAACTGTGTGCGTTTGTATGCAAGGTGTCGATCAGAGATTACATCTAATGATGGTCATTTAAAAGCAAATACTGGCTGGAGGCGCATAATCAAAAAAACACACACACACACACACAAACACACGTGCGACGATTGAAAATGTTTGAAATTGCATAATTGTATAGCTCCTGAAATCCACTTGATAACATAGAAGTAAAAGCATAGCAACAACAACAACAAAAATAAACGCGATGATGAAACGATTAAATACTGGTAGCCATAAATAATGACAAATAAGGGAAACATCAATCAACAAATTGCAGCTGTCTATTTGCAGTTTAACCTTTAATTAATGTTTCTCTTCAGTTTTCAGTTCCAAAACATTTCTTTATTTTGCCGTTGTTTGGATTTACTAGGTCAAGGGTGACCGTGGACGTTGATGGTTTTAGGTGACTTTTTCGGATTTATAATTTATGTATGTATATGCTTTCATTTTTGTTTGTGTACCAAAATTTTAAGATAAGCTGAATTTTTGCTTTGTTCAGTGGTATTTAGACAATGGTGTGAATAATGTGTTTCCATGTAAAATGTTTAATAATCTCCTAAAAGTCGCATTTTCATAATTTCGGAGGACGTGCCTAGTATGCAAGACAAACCAAAGTGACTAGGCGACCAAAGTTCATATAAAATGACACACATGAAATGGAAAAGACATTTTCTTCTATTAAAATTTCTTAAATTAGTTTGCAGCTCTCAAGAAAAAAATGCTCATATATTGTATTTCTTGAAGAAAATTGAAGCAACAGAAATAATAAAAATTTTTCATGTGATTTTTCTTGAGTTTGTATTTGATGTTATTAGTTTTAGGGGGAATTTGAACCCAAAAACCCACCCCTTGCGTGCGCTAATGTATATGTAATAGGTAATTATTTAGTTTAGTATTTGTACTAGTACATACATATATTTATATGAACACCCTAATTATGCGCGCACGTGTATGCTTGTATGCACACACACATACATACGTATGCTCGTACAAAATTATGTACATATATTTATTTTGCTGTACAAGTCATTTGCATTGACGTCAACTTGAAGCGACTATTATGACTTGTTCAGTTGGTATTAAGAAATCTGATATGAAAACCAGTTCGACAAGAAATTTTTGTTAAAAACGCTATGTATGATTTTAGTAAAATATGTATAGTAATCGACACAATTCAAAGTTAGAAGTATAAGTGTGTTTACTAAAAAGCATAAAAATTTGCATGTGATATGACGTCAGATATACATACATATGAATGTATTCATGTCTCCACAAATGCACTTTAATTATCTTCGTAGTTAAATTTATTGAATAAACGACAGTCGGTGTAAGAGTAAAGAAGAATTTGAATATCTTGCTCGTAAAAATTTTCGGATACTGAGAAAAGGTTAACTTCTTTTAGGAAAACATTTTTTTTTTGATAAGTATGGAGTGCCATGTGTAATATTTTTTGAACTGGAGATAGTGACAATATATTTGTTTATTTGTTTATTTGTATATGTATATTATCCAATATAATCTACAAACATATGTATGTTACTTGTTATAATTAGGCACTCATGAACAGATCATCAGTTCCATAAAAAAAACCATTTACTCATTCTGTGTGCTAATTTTATGTTTAATTCTCAAAAGCTATCATTTATGATTATACAAGTATTGACAATGATCAGTCCAATACTTATGTAAATGCTCGCATGAATATGCTCATTTATTGGTAGTCAATAAAATCTAGTTAAATTAGCATACCAATCAAGTTTTGTTTTCGGGTTAGATAGTAAGGCCGCTATTTTATTAGTTCAGAGGATATTATTAGTAGTGGATTACGTTGTTGTCAAAGTGGTAAAATCTTAACATTTTCTAATATACTTAAGAATAGTTTTGATTAGTTAGGTAAGTTTTTTGCAGCATTTGATTGATACATTTTTTATCTCTTTGAAATCAAAAACGTACTTTCCCTATACTATACTCCACATATCGGCACTATCAATGGAAAAGACATACCTGGTCTGAGCAACCCACTAGCTAAACGGTCACTAATAGGTATGATTTCCAACATAATTTAATCGAGACTAGCGTTGCCAAACTTGTTTTGAAGTAGTTACAGAGCTGACCATTGCCTTGGAAGCAGCTCGATCTTTACTTTAGACACTGAAACTTCTGCCTCTCCAACTATTAACCAGCTTGTGGTCCATGGCCCTGAGTAGTGCTAATACCTCGCCTTGAAATACCGAGTCCTGTTGCCCAAGAGAGAAAAGACGACTGTTTTACTTATTCTCGACATAGACAGCAAATCCTAATACTGCTCCAGTTTTGTAGCCATCAGTAAAGATGCTACAATCTGTAAGTCGGACTAAGTATTGGGGTTAAGCTAGCAATCAGCCTCAGCAGCTTAATATTGTATTATCTCCGCAGGAAAGTAAACTGTACGGTAGTGTAGAGCTCTTCCTCCAGCTTTTACCACCATCTTTCCTGCTACACTCTAATTACCAGCACCTTTTTATTTTAAGCCTAGCGGTGGCTTTAAGAGCTAATTCGCGGATAAATTTGTTAAGTGATGGTGCATGCAGACCAGTCCCACTTGTGGTAGGGAAAGCTACCACAAAGCACATGGCGATCGTATTGGTTGAGAGTCTGCTCCACTGTACCATAGATGCATAGCTGATAATCGGTCTAATCATAGAGGTTTACATCCTCAGGTACAAACTCCACCTTTTTCCAAAGACCTGTTTGTATTGCCAGATCCGTATTGAGGCTTTCGCGGTCTTTTATTCAAAGTCAGACTCCCATAAAAGTACACAGAGGAAGGATCAACTAATAAAAATAAACAAAAGTAAGAAAATATCTCTATGGTTTTTCGATAAGAAGAAAGCCTTCTTATTTTTATCTCGAAATAGAAAAAAAAATAACAAGTCTGCGCTGACCTGTTATCGAGCCCAAGACCTACTGGATGGCATTTTACGACTCTACCTACTCGGCTACTGTAGTCGCCTTTCCGATATTATTATATTTGATAATTCGAATTTAAAATGTATTCAAGAAGACATCACATAAAATTAAGAATAAGTACTTTTCAATGGATTCAGAGTAGGGGGAGCAAGGCCCTCCGTACTTATGATGCTTTTGGTGAAGATTTCAATGCTACCTTCGGTAGTATGTCATCCAGACCTCCAATAGCAAATATTATGCGATCTTCGTTCGCCACCATTCTGGTATTCCGTAAGGCAGCACTATTTCTTGGTTTGATTTTGTGCGCAGCGGTTACGTATCTGGCCCATCTCAGAATTAGTTTCGAGAGGCCGGTTTTAAAGTTTCCTCGAAGCACCCCTCTACTTCTTATTCCGCTAAGTGACCGGATTGTGACTAAGAGATGGACGAGTCGGAGAAGCTTTATCCAAACTGACATAATGAGTAGCCGTTATACAAACTACTGCCTCATCAATGCACTGCATCTTCTGCCTTAAACACGGTCAGTTGAGATTTCTTGAAATTGCCTTAGAGAAGAGTAACTACCACCTTAACCGATTTTAAATTGACTTCAACTGTGGACTAAGAACGAATTCTCATTCGCACCTCTTCAGTTTAACATCAACCACTTCTGGGTATAAGATAGTGTTAGATTAATCACATCTTGCCTAAAAGAAGTATCAAACGTTGGTCTGCTCCTCAATTTCAAAACGTTAAGCCCACAACACGAGAGAATTACAATTAGAAAAGTAGATCTTTCTGTGTATTGCATTTTCTGCTGTCCCAGACAACATATAGTTTGTCGCAGCGTTTCATAATACCAGCTGCCTACCGCAAATGTGAGGAAAACGTAGGGTCACCTGGCAAGTACGCAGAGGCAACAACGAAGACTTTCCATCCACGCTTGTCCCTGAAGTTCAGAGCCTTGCACAAATCTGGTTAAAGCAACGGAAACCTTCATCCTCTCCGTCATATACACAATTTTTGCCGCACAGATACCTATGAAAGCATGCCAGAACTGGCCTTGCTTTCACTGACGCCCCCAGCTTTGTATAGGCCATATAATTCGAGTACTATCTTAGTTGTATAAACACAGAAATGGAATAGGCCAGCTTAGCACAAAATTTTTAGAGTGTCACTAGGCTTAATCAGTAGTTCTTCATTTAATTCTGGCCTTTTCTCAAGTCGTGCAGATTAAATAGAAAAAACTTAAATAAAAAAATGTCTATTGCACTCACCGCATTCCATCAAAACCATCATCGGAACCATTTATTGTGAGCACTGGCGCGCGTGCGTATGCTTTCGCTACACGACGATTGCGTTCGAAGACAATCACTTTGGCCCAAATCTCATCATCGATTTGTGTCCATTTGTCAAGAACTTCTTGTATGTGCTCCTAAAATAAAAAGAAGGGAATGCAAAAATATAGAAATGAAATCAATAACATAAGACCAATTGAATAAAATCATGCAAGTGAAAAGAAAAAAAATAAAAAATAATAACTGACACAGCTAAAGTCATAAAACCAGCCATTAAAAAAAATATTTGGTAACTCAACAGCTTTGCCATATCTATTGCTTTCAATCGTACTAGACAAAATTCGCACTTTCATTTTCAATTGCCTGCTAAGTATGTATAGGTGGCCAACATGCAACAGACGTATGCATAAATAAAAAAAAGATAAAATTTAACACTGCAGCCCGGCTAGTTAGATGCAAAGCAAAGCCGCTCCTTAGACTGGAACACTGAATACACTGTAGAGCTGGCAGCGTTTTATCGCTTTGCGCTTTAGTTGTTTTTCATTATTGTTGTTGCAGTGAACGGCCTTGTGTGCAAGTTTTACTTTTACTAAACGCCAAAGTATAGCATGACAACAACAGCAAAAGCAGCAGCAACAACGAATAAAGTAATGCCGCCTGCAGTTGTCGTTGTTGCAAACGAGATCAAACGTTTTTGCATGCCAAAATGCGCCAACTTGCACTATTTTGCTGATTTATTTTCAATTTTATTTTGATTGTACGAATGTATGTATGTGTATAGTCGTACTTTGCGTGTTTTTATTTTTTGTTGTTCCATTTGCTTGCGTTGTCGTTATTGCCAACTGATAATCGTCTAACAGCCCATTCGTTTGGCTGCGCTACGGACAGCGCCTACAGCTGTTCAACGTTTGCAACACTATTTGCTGGTTGTGGGGATTTTTGCTGTTGTTGTCTTGCTACACAATTCACTTTGCGTATCTGGAAAATTTTCTATTTTATTTTCGCAATGATTGCAGCAACAGCAGCAGCAACAGCAGGGGCAGCAGCCGTCAACGGCATTAGTTTCAACAAGATATTAAGTGGTGAAAAATGATGAAAAACAAATCTATGAATAGGTGAAAAAAACTACCATTTCAGCTTCAAGTGTTTGCGCTTGCGTCATGCTCAGCTGCATTGATTTTTTATCATTTTCACATTGGTTTTTTTTTTTTTCAAAATACTGTTTCCTTTAGTTAAACCTTATTTTGTTTTATTTGATATTAGTTTTTAGTTTTCGCCAGAAAATTTTCGCCCGCGCTAATGGTGTAATATATTTCAAATAATATTTACCGTTCAACAAAAACACAACCAATTTCTAGACCATATTTGCTGTTCAGTGATTTTCCTTGAGCGCCTCAGTGTAAAATGAAATACTTAAGCTACGAACTTCAGTAGCCCTTTTGAGCTCATGTATTAAAATTTAGGCTCTAGAAAGCATCACATTATCTTAAAAAAAGGCACTAGATATATCCTCTGTTCTTGTGGACTAAAGTTACTTACAAAGTTTGATGCCGCTAGTGGCTAATGCAGTTCCCCACTATGATTAGAGAGAGTGAGGTCAGCTTAAGGCGTAAGAAGCGAAGCTATAGAGAAGTTATACATACTTTAAATAAAATCCTTTCTTCGAAATATCGTCGACTGTTAATTTTAAACCGTATGATTCATAATCGGAGGGAAATTTAATTTCAAGCTAAATATTAGCTTCTGACCTCTTGAGGTCGGTTAAAACTAGTCCATGGATGTTCGCCCAATATTTAAGCAGTATTTCAGATCACATTTGTATGTATGCATGTAAATATGTATGTATATATAAAAGCATCATCAGCCAAAGAATTCACAGCTACAAATAATTGGCCATCCCCCTTGGCACTGCAAGTGGTAAGCAAAAAAGAATTTGGCTTTGTTTGATGACAAAAAAAAAACTTTGCAAAATCTGCAAGCTGATTCATAAAAAATAACAGTAAAAATTATTTGCTGCTCCCATAAATAAACTTTTAACTTAGTACCTATGCAACGAAAACGAAGCAGAAAAAATTAACAACATTTTATATTTGGCACACCACCCATGAATAGAATTTGATTTATGTTGCAGATGACTTGTCTCTCTAACATTTTTGCACTTTTTGCTCACCCCTGACCATCTGTCCTTAGTTCTAGTTTGGTACGAAGCGCCAAATTAAGCATATCTAAACAAGAAGATTATTTTTGGGTGCAGCTGGTGCACGCTTTTCGCAAGCGCACCTAGAAAACTGTGGGTAATAAAAGCGGCACATTTTTGGGGAAAAATATTTGCAATAATCTGCATTTTTTTATTTGNAAACAAGAAGATTATTTTTGGGTGCAGCTGGTGCACGCTTTTCGCAAGCGCACCTAGAAAACTGTGGGTAATAAAAGCGGCACATTTTTGGGGAAAAATATTTGCAATAATCTGCATTTTTTTTTTTTTTTTTTTTTTTTTTTTGGTGCCGAGAAAATACATTTCTGTATTAAGAATACAAAAATATGAAAAAAAATGTCGCTAACGTCTTTTTGAGTCGCCGACGCTTAGGACCATCTACGCAGAAAAAACTTGTATCATACTTATTGCTCGGACCAGAGCTATGAACTGAAAGTTGTTCGAGTTACCTTATCACATGGTGCCTCATGCCTTTGTAGTTTGGTGGCCGTAGGCAACATAAAAACTACCATACGTTTTAATAAACTCCAAAGGATGGCCTTGCTTGCGATCAAAGAATCAATGCGAACTTGCCTAACATAGGGTATGGTGGACGCCTGCGATAATTTACGTTTTGAAAAAATGCAAAGGGTCCTTGTAATAATATGTATGTTGAAATATACCTGGTCTGGAAGGAGATTCCAGGTCTTAACGCCAGTACGAGAAGTCTGGAATTGAGCCACGGAATTGAAATTGGTAAAAAAACGGGTCAAAATGAACGCGGATATCTTTCATATTTTATAATATGTCAAGACAGCTAAACAGCCTTTCAGGTCCTCTCAAATACATAGAGCACATCCAAAATTTTCAACAAATATTTTGCCACTGTCCATCTTTTGCCAGCGAAACCGCGCTAGCACGCATTGAGTATTTGGGCACTTCGGTATTGAGAGCAACGAATTGGGCGAGGAGCTGGTGAGAGAAGGACACGCACTCTTCTTAGCGGGAGCGGAACTACATATGTATTTTGTGGTTTCAGATATTCTCTTGGGACTTTCGAGTTTTCGGTGGATTAAGTTAGAAGGCCTTATTGCGATATTAGTAGGCTCCAACCAGCCCTGGCTATCCGGTTTTTTTTTTGTACGAACTTTTAAATAGAGCAGACATCAGATGACCACCTGCCGTATTTTAAGAGATGTGTTCTTCCACTTAATAACAGGTCCAAGGAACATACATAAAAAAGTAGATTTCCAAAGCAGCTGCCACTGTCAATAGCAAACTGGAAAGTGTAGCTCTGCCTTGAAATTGCTTAGGCGTAAAACTTTAGCTTCTACCAGTCGTGTGAAAATACCGATTTAGTTTTTATATGTACCGAACTGATTTGTCTGTAGAAACCTCAATTTTGAGGGAGAGTCATCTGCAGTGCACGGACTTTACCACTTTATTGGTAGATCTACCAACTTTTTAGCTGTTTTTTATTTTCTACCATTTCTACCAACAAAGGCTAAAAATCTATCAATATTTTCCCGAAAGAAAGCAAAGAGATTTAAATGAACACCGTGTATACATATTTTATCATGGAACATACCTAAAATAAACATGAGGAGTTAACTTTGACCATAACCAACTGTTTATGGAAATATTTTTCGTTTGCAATACGTTTTTTGTGTGAGACTGCCAAAGGAATGGTGTGCAAACTTAAATCATTTCAAAACTAATTTTAATCAAAAAATTTTGAAGTGCAGAGTAATAGTTTGTTTTATTGTAAAACAGGGCCAGAATCAAGACATCCGTGATCGAATCATATTCGAATCGGAATTTTCTTTACAGCTTTTGGTAGCGAATTCGCTTTTTCAGTTCAAAATGTATTAGAGAGAAAACAACTGTCATTTTGTTTCATTCGATCACGGATGCCATGATTTGGGCCCACTTTTATGTACTACATATTTATACCTTTCTTGTTGAATATTTTATTATTTTATCAAAAATACAATTATTTCCAAGGCGAATTCATATAATAAGGTGACAACAAAAGTTCAAAAACAAAAATTCCACTAACAAATTTTACCCATAATGACAATAAGAATTACAACAAATACATCATTTTGACATTAAAAATCCCCAAGGCGAAAATTCAGCTGCTTTGGTAACACCATCTTACCTGAATTAGCTTTCATTTATCCTAAATGAGTAAAAACTATATAATAATTTTTCTTTTAAAAAAGGCTACCAACTTCTACCAATTTTTGTATGCAAAATCTACCAATATTAATTTTTTCGAAGTCCGTACACTGGTCATATGTGTACATGGCCAAAAAAATGTATATAGTATTTAAATTTTGCAATCATACGAACTCATTACAATTATAAATTTGTCTAGCTAAGTTCTTTTAGCTTTTATTAAACAAAACTTGACTGAAATTTTTAATAATAGTTTATATTTAACAATTTAATTTTATTGAGCTCGAGGCTGTTCTTAATAAAAAATTTTTGTCGAAAAACAATAATAACACTGTGAGACAAATGGTAGGGGTCAGTGATCGAGAAGGGTTCAAACTACCGGGGAAAGTTATATCGGTAAAAAAGAAGTTATACGTGTCCCGGCGTTTCGCTGGGTCACGTCTAGGAATCGAGATATATCGATTTGAAGTTAGTAACTATCATATAGGGGAAACTGTCACCTTTGGTGGTTTTTTTTTTTGACATAACTCGAGAACCACTAGTCCGATTTTGCTCAAACAAATTTAAAAAAATTAAAAATTACAATTCCTTTAATCTGTTCATATAACGTTTTTCTATATAATCAACAGTTTTGCCGGTAAAAATAAATGTATGAAGAAAAAAAATATTTTTTGCGTAAAATATTAGATTTTTTTATTTTTTAAATTCATAAAAAATCCAAAACGGAAAAAAGGCAAGTCGTATTACTTTCACGCAAAGTCA